GGGTGTGGAGTGCTGGCTTTGTTTCAGTAAGTGGAATGATTGGCTGTGTGGTTGTATCATGATTGGTAGATTCGTGCTGATTGGTGCTGGCTGTGTGTCCATTGTTCTTTTGTGTTGTAACGTCCTGGGTTGTGGGTGGGGCTCATTTGTTGGCTGGTTTGAAGATGGCGAGTGAGACCTCGCCGAAACGTTGCCAAGACAATCTCAATCTTACATGGGAAAAGACCCGAATATATATACATATATATATGTGTGAACTTGATAGGAACTTGATTTAAAAAAAGAAAAGCAATGGAAGGAGAATTGCCAATCAAAGGAAACAGCTAAAGTCTAAGCAAGGGCCCCAATCTTCCCCACCAACCGTTTTCAACCCAACCGTGGCATCTTGCTGTGATCCTGTGTTTTTGGTTCGGTTGGTTTGTTTTTTTAGTTGACCGCTGATTGTCGGGCGCTTCATAGCATCTCCAGTTGTTTTGTTCTCTCTTTGCAGGCAGAGCGGTGAGGCAGCCAGGTGAGGTCTGTTTTAAGGCTCTTGAGTGTACAGAACCAGGGCTGGTAAAAAGAACCAGGAGGGAGGAAGACCAAACTCCTTCCTTGGCAGAGAAGCAGCCCCGTTGCTGAGAAATGAAGGAGAAATTTTGCCTCTTAGGTCCGTGCACACCCACACACATATTGGCCCAGACTTTAGGGGAGAATCGGCGTTGCAAAGACAGGGGAGCTTCGCAGAAGAAGTTTGGCATTGCCAAAACTGTTTGGTGCTATACTTCGGTTAGACCTCAGGTTTCCCATCAGCAGGTGAGTGGTGGAGCCATGTTTCCAACACACACTGCAACCGGCAGTGGTATTTCATCCTTGCTGTATACGTTATTTTGTCCAGAGAGGCAGTTCAGGAATAGATCTGGATACGTAAAAAGAGAGGCAAAACATTCCTTCCACAGAGGTCACTCGACAAACGCACAATAGCCAGAGTGGAGGAGAAGCCTTTTTTTAAAAAAATAAAATAAAATACAGAAATCCAAACCAGTAGTTGTGAACGTTGTCTTTAAATAAAATAATCATAGGATTTTGGGGGCAGAGTCTGGCCTGGCTAGATTCTGTACAGTGCAATTGGAAAAAAAGGATGCTGACCAGGGGTGGGATTCAAAAATTTTAGCAACCAGTCCTCTGCCCAATTGCTGGGTGGGTGTGGCATACTCGGCTTCCTGCACCACGGGGGGGGGGGGGGGGGGTGTCC